TTTGAGACTTGTTGCCATAGCAGAATAATTTATATAGTAAAAGGTTCAGGGCTTATCATTTTTGTGGGAAACCAAAGAGTAATCATCTTTCTATTTAAAAATCAATGCAATGTATCAACATTTTAACAAAATTAGACAAACCATTCATTTACCAGCATAAATTATAAAAATCTTAACATGTATCTACTACTTGGAGAGATTTTACATATGTATGTATGAAATGTATATACATGTATAGTCTTGGAAAGGTTATACACACATTGGTTACTGTAATTTACTTCCTTACAACAAAGGTAGTTTGCATAACTAATGCTTGCTTACTGAAATTAAATTAATCTATTTTTTAGTATCCATATTGAAATAACATCTTGTTGGGATATTCATTATAAAAGAAAAAGATTGCCTTTTACTGAGATTGCTATATGCATACTTCAAGACTATAAAATTGATATTTCTATTTATAGGAAATGTAAATATAAGAAAATGACATTTTAAAAAATCTAAAATAAATGTCATTGTTTAAAAAAATTTAGTCAAGAAGATTGATAAAGTAAATAATAAAGTGGGAGTAAACAGTTCACATCTGCTTTAACCAAACTATTTCTAAAATACCTTTTTCAAAAATAAAATGTACTTAAAATGTCTCTGAGTTTTAGATATAAAGGGGAAATATGTCAAAGCAATTTAACATTCTCAATGCTTTGAAATTTCTATCTTAACACCTTATTGCAAAAAAAGGATAAAACAAACATCTAGATTTTAGAAATGTCATTTGTGTGTATATTTTTACTTCTTCATTTTTTTTTTAGATTAAATATATCTGATTCTCACATCTTCTTATAGTCTTCTGGCTCTGAGTCTTTGATTTTTGTTATAAAGGTGGATACATTTATTTGGACCTAGCTTTTTGATTAAGTGAGCATCTCTCTAGGTGGTTGCTCTTCTACTGTAAACAAATCAAAAACTATCACTGTTAATGTCAAAAGAAGCTACACTGATATCAAATTTTTGTATGTAACTTGGAAATGTTTCTTTTTCTTATACAATATTTACAAATAATAGAAAATATATAGTAAACATTTTATTTAAGTATACTATAGATATCTTAAAATATTAAAGACACAATGGGGAAATACATATGATACATGGAGAATTTATTTAGGCAGTAATATTTTTTATTTAGACCCCAAAACTTAGACTGAAATTTTCAGTTATTAGAAAAAGGGAAGACCGCTGAGTGGTTTTACATACACAGACTCATAAGGACTTAGGAGGCAGCCTACATTATTAATATGTTTGATCAGTTGTATAATGGCTAGGAGAAGTATCTGCCTGAGCCTTTGGCTTCTGGTAGTTTCTGCTGCCACAGATCTAAATGATTTAAAAGTTCCTCTTCTTTTAACTTTGATCTTGGGTCTATAACCTAGCCACCTTTTCTCCATGGAAGTCATCTAAATCATTACTTTGGTATTAAAATACAAACTTTAGTTTTTGTTACACCATGAAAATTTTAGACCCTATGTAATAGAGTTGTAACCTTTCATGTGAACTACAGGATCCTAAGAGCTTAACTCATGAATTCTTAACAGGGTCAGCAAGGTTTACACATAGCCCACCATGTGACCATAATACAAACACAGTTTACACTTCCCTTGATTTGGCAGCTTTGAAATTCTGTAATTTTTGACATTTTTAATTGGGGGAAATCATTTCAAATTTTGTTTGTAAAGTTAGACTTTATTGTCAGACAATTTTTTAGTCAATATGCATAAAATGTTACTATACTTTACAAATATTGAAAAATCCTATTACAATAAAAGGCTAATGTGCAAATCGACTGAACAGCAGAACGACCAGTTGCTATGATGTGCACTGACCACCAGGGGGCAGACGCTCAATACAGGAACTGCCCCCTGGTGGTCAGTGTGCTCCCACAGGGGGAGCGCCCCTCAGCCAGAAGCCCTGGGCCAGGCAGAGGGCGCAGGCCAGGCTGAGGGACACCCCTCCCCCCTCTGGGCCAGGCTCACAGCTGGTGAGCACAGCGGCAGTGGTGGGAGTCTCTCCTGCCTCTGCAGCACCACTAAGGATGTCTGACTGCTGGCTTAGGCCCGCTCCCGAGCAGGACTAAGCCATCAGTTGAACATCCCCCAAGGGCTCCTGGACTGCAAGAGGGCGCAGGCCAGGCTGAGGGACACCCCTCCCCCCCAGTGCACGAATTTCATGCACCAGGCCTCTAATAATAAAGTAATACAGTTAATACTGACTGGTGCTTACTATCCGTGAATCACTGTTCTAAGCATTTTAGTATATTAACTCATTTAGTCTTCACAACAGATTTCTGAGTTAGACTGTTCGTGTTATACAGGAAGGAGCAAAAGTAGGTTTACAGTTTTTCATATAGAAAATAATACAATAACTAATAAATAATAGTACAAGAATAAACAGTTTTCCATACCCACAACTGTAAACCTCCTTTTCCCCATCCTGTATTCTAACTTTACAGATGAGGCCGATGAGGCACAGAAAGGCTAAGTAACTTGATCAAGGTCATAAGTAAAATAAAACTACTCTTAAGAAAAACAAATTTTATATTTATATTACAGTTTTAGGTGTATAGAAAAATTGTTAATATAGTATATGGTGAGTTCATATATACCCCACACCCAATTTCCCCTGCTATTATTACCTTATTAGTATGGTGCATCTGTTATTATTAATGAATTAATATTGATATTTTATTGCTAACTGAAGTCTATACTTTATTCAGATTTCCTTAATTTCTACCTAATATCCTTTCTCTGTTATAGGATTCTATCCAGAATAACATGTTACTTTTTTTTTTAATTGATTTCAAAAGAAGGGAGAGGGAGAGATAGAAACATCAATGATGAGAGAATATCATTAATCGACTGCCTCCTACATGCCCCTTACTGGGGATTGAGCCTGCAACCCTGGCATGTGCCCTGACTAGGAATCAAACCGTGACCTCCTGGTTCATAGGTCGATGCTCAACCATTGGGCCACGCCGGGCGAACAGGCAACATTGTTACATTTAGTCCATCATGTTCCCTTAGTCTCTTCTGGGCTGTGACAGTTTCTCAGACTTTCCTTATTGTTGTGTGTTTTTGTTTTGTTTTTTATTGATTTCCGAGAGAGGAAGGAAGAGAGAGAGAGAGAGGTAGAAACATCAATGATGAGAGAGAATAATCGTCTGCTGCCTCCTGCATGCCCCCTACTGGGGAGTGAACCAGTAACCCTGGCATGTATCCTGAATTGAACTGTGACTTCCTGGTTCATGGGTCAACGCTCAACCACTGAGTCACACCAGCCCAGTAACTTTCCTGGTTTTTTATTATTTCGGCAGTTTTAGGAGTACTGGTCAGATGTTTTGTAGAATGTCTTACTCAATTGGGATGTGTCTGATGTTTTTCTCATAATTAGACCGGGGTTATGAGTTTGGGGGAGGAAGACCACAGGGACAAAGTACCGTTTTCATCACATCATATCAAAGATGCATACTACTGTCAATGTAAGAAACATTCAAGCCTGTGAAG